GTGAGCAGAGCAGAAACAAGAAAGGAGCAAGAGAAAAAAGGAGAACTCAAGAGGGCAACAAAAAAAAAACTGAGAACTCAAAATAACCAGAAAAAACAAAATAAGAATAAAACCACTAAGACTAGAAAACAAGGAGTAAAGCTAAACTGAACACTAAAAGAAAAACATAACAGAACCAAGACTGAGACTGTAACTGAGAAAAACCCAAGGAACATAACAAAATAAGAGTTAAAACATAAAAAAATATAAAACAAAGAGCAAAGCAAACCTGAATATCAAAAGAAAAACATAACAGAAACCTAACAAAAGTATTTGTACTTTGATAATTGAGACTTATCAAAGTTTACAACCAATAAACACAAAGAATTTAGTTTCTTGCTATGATCAGGTGCAAATATTGATCCTTGGGGACAAGTTGCAGCATTATTTTGCATTTGATTCTGTTTCTCAAGATAAAACAAAAACACCTACAGAGTTGTAGATGGTAATAGCTGTAGGGAGGGAGGATCTTGTGAGGGAACGGAGAAGCCTTTTGGCTGAAAACAACATCCATCCATCCATCCACCCATCCATCCAGCCACCCATCCACCCATCTATCCATCCGGGGTCGGGTCGCGGGGGTACCAGCTACAGTAGGGAGGCCCAGACGTCCCTCTCCCCAGCCACTTGGTCCAGCTCCTCTGGGGGAATCTCAAGGCGCTCCCAGGCCAGCAGAGAAACATAGTCCCTCCAGCGTGTCCTGGGTCTCCCCCTGGGCCTCCTCCCGGTGGGACGTGCCTGGAAGACCTCACCAGGGAGACGTCCAGGAGGCATCCTAAACTCGAGCCCCCTCAACTGGCTCCTCTCGATGTGGAGGAGTAGTGGCTCTACTCTGAGTCCTCCCTGGATGACTGAGCTCCTCACCCTATCTCTAAGGGAGAGCCCAGACACACTGCTGAGAAAACTCATTTCAGCCGCTAGGATCCGGGATCTCGTTCTTTCGGTCATGACCCAAAGCTCATGACCATAGATGAGGGTAGGAACGTAGATCGACCGCTAAATCGAGAGCTTTGCTTTTTGCCTCAGCTCTCTCTGAACCACAACAGACCGGTACAGCGCACACTTCACAGCAGACGCACCATCTTCGCCGATTTCATGAACAAGACCCCAAAACTCCTCCACTAGGGGCAGTACATCCTCCCCAACCTGGAGAAGGCACTCTACCCTTTTCCGGCTCAAGACCATGGTCTCGGATTTGGAGGCACTGATCCTCATCCCGGCCGCTTCACACTCGGCTGTGAACCGCTCCAGTGAGAGCTGTAGATCACGCCCTGATGAAGCCAACAGAACCACATCATCTGTGAATAACAGAGATGCAATCCTAAGGCCACCAAAACAGATCCCCTCAACACCTTGGCCGCACCTAGAAATTCTGTCCATACAAGTTATGAACAGAATTGGTGACAAAGGGCAACCTTGTCGGTGTCCAACCCTCACCGGAAACAAGTCCGACTTATTGCCGGCAATGCAGACCAGGCTCTGACGCTGGTCATACAGAGATCTAACAGCCCTTATTAAAAGGCCAGGTACTCCATACTTCCGGAGTACCCCCGAAAGGACCCCCAAGGGACATGGTTGAAAGCCTTCTCCAGAGCCACAAAACACATGTAGACTGGTTGGGCAAACTCCCGTGCATCCTCCAGAATCCTGCCAGGACGAAAACCACACTGCTCTTCCTGAATCCAAGATTCGACTATCCGACGGACCCTCCTTTCCAGAACCCCGAATAGACCTTACCAGGGAGGCTTAAGAGTGTGATTGCTCTGTAGTTGGAACACACCCTCTGGTCCCCTTTTTTAAATAGAGGGACCACCACCCCAGTCTGCCAATCCAGGGGAACTGCCCCTGATGTCCACGCAATGTTGCAGAGCCGCATCAACCAACACATCCCCACAACATCCAGAGCCTTAAGGTACTCTGGGCGAATCTCCTCCACGCCTGGGGCCTTGCCACCGAGGAGCTTTATAACCACCTCAGTGACTTGAGCACCAGAGATGGGTGTCCCAGGAGGGGCCATCTCCAGTACCCCCCATAAAGACTCCAAAAATGGTGGGTAATCTGAACTGCTGTTTGGCACATAAGCACAAACAACAGTCAGAACCTGTCCCCCCAACAGGTATGCGGAGGGAGGCCACCCTTGTTGACCCTTCACCGGGGTGAAGGGTCAACAACTCCTGCTCGGCGCCTCTCACCAGGGGCAACTCCAGAGTGGAAGAATGTCCAGCCCCTCTCAAGGAGACTGGTTCCAGAGCCAGAGCCATGCGT